CTTCTCGATCGCTAGATGGGTTGAAAGTCTATGGTCCGATCTGAGAAAATCTTCAGCGGGACCGATCCTATCAAGCTTCAGGCCTAATCGAGCGGGAGAAGCCGTGATTCCGATCCCCTAAAATCGACCATTAAGGTTCGACTGAGCTTGTCTCCTTTTCTGGTGGGAATTCAATCTAACAGAAATGCTCTTGATTGAGATGTAGGTAGGCCCTGTTGAACTGAACTAGCTAGCGAACTTCAAGCGTGGCGTGTGATTATTCCGAAAAGAAAATTCAGTATATGCTCCCTCCCTCCTTCCCTCATCTATGGTTTGTATTTGATTATTCCGAATGCCTGCAACGCCCTGACCTCTCTCTAAACCAGAAGAAGATATTCGGAGCACAAGGGGAAACAAAAAGAAAAGGCGAAACTGTATCCAGTAACCCAGCCCAAGCAATTCCCGTCGAAGTAAAATGAGATATGGAAAAAAAAAGGTGCGTGTTAAGACAAGGTAGGTAGGCCAGAACACAAGATTCTGACGAGTGAGAAGATCGGGGAGACAGTTAGATAGATAGATGTGCGTAGTAGGAGGTATCAAACGACACATCCGGCTGCATTCACAGACAGGCGTTGGGGTGTGGAAGCGGTCCAGCAGGCAAACAATAAGACGAGTCCAAGTCAGCTCATATCTATGAAGCACCGCCCACCCCCTCCCTGCTGCTTCAGACGACAACAACCCCCTGCCGGATAAATGGAACATGCCAGGTCTGTCCAAGCGGTCATGGAATCTTATAGTAGTCACAATCAAAGATCCGCTTTAGCGAGCCAATCCGCTTTTGTCCAATGCAAGCACGTATCAGGCGGCGAATGTAACAAAAACAAAAACATTCGACTCCAATGCCCTTTAATTCGGACCAGACTGAGTAGAGGTTGTCCCGGGCTTCGGCGCCACCGCAGGTGGTCCCAGCGGCGGGATGCGGTTGAGGGAAGGCGACGACATGATCGATTGCTGGCCGTTCAGTTGCGCCGCCTGTTGTCGCAGGGCATTCTCCCTCTGCCGGCGCTCCTCTTGCTCCGGGGTCATGCACTTGATTGGCGGCGGGATAGGCGCGTCGGGCGAGCTTCGGCCCATCAACTTGGGGCTGGGCTCGAGTTTCTGGATCGGCGGAAGGACGGGCGCGCCGGCGATGCTGCCCGAGGTCATGGGCCTGGGCGACTGCTTGGTCGGGCTAATCCCGGAGAAGGGCACGCCGTGCGAGCTCTGCGGCGGCGACGACCGGCTGCCACCACCGCCGGTAGGTGTGGCGATGAAGGACGGTCGGCCATTGCTGAGGGGGGGCAGCTGAGCATTGCTGTTGCCCGTGTTGGGGCGCGGAGTCTGATGCTGGCCGTGCGGTGTCCAGGGAGCCACGTGGTCCGACGATGCCACGGGCGGAAACCCTGCAAGCGGACCGACGTCGCGGTTGCCCTGGGTCGGTGACATAGAGGGACGGTTTTGGATGGGAGACGGAAGGGTTGGGCTGTGTACGGAATGAGATGACGATGGGCGCCGTCCAAAGAGGCCGCCGCCACTGAAGGATTCACGACCGTTAAGCGGCAGCTGCATTGAAGGAGGTTTGGGGGGCAGTTCCTTGGATGCCGGAGTAAAGCCATTCATGCCTTTTGACGGGGAGAATGGAGCCCGAGGGGAACTCAACGGCGCTGCATGCGCAGACGAGGGTCGGCGCTCGGGAGATGCTGGGGCCAAGGAGGCAGGCTGAGCGGAAGTCCGAAAGATCATGTGTGGTAGGGATGGTAACTGTTTTGAAGGAGATTCGACTGAAGGCATGGGGACAGTAGACTGAGCTTGTTTCGTGGCTGGAAGGGGGGATGTTTCCGTGTCCCTGATCTTCTGCTCGCCGTCGGCAGCGCCAGAGGGTGAAGTTGAGGAACCGAGTCGGAATTTCAACGGCGGAATCTTGGGCTTCTTCGCCTCCTCATCGCGCCTCTTGCAGTCATCGCAGACAAAATGGAAATCTTCGCGCTCGGCCTCGTGTTTGGGGATACCAAGACACTTGCTGTGTTGCCACACATTGCACTTTTCGCATGCGACGCTATGAGAGCCATCATCCTACCTTGGATTAGCAGACGCTTCTTATCATCGGCGCTTGAGACTTACCAGGTTCTGACCGTGGACACCGCAGCCCGAGCAATCAAATGTCCACTGATCTTCTTGGGAAAGGTCTTCGAGATTCTTCCGATATCTTTCCATCTCAGCCCTGAGATGTCTCTCGGATGCTCGACTCTCGCCTCGCTCGACCTTCTTGTGCTCTTCCTCAATGCGCTGCAATTCGTTCTCGTGGAGAATCCGCTTGCGCTCGCGATCCTTGGTACGCTGCTCACGAGTGATGATGCGCGAGCGTCTCTCTGTCTCAAGCTTCTTCAGTCTTTCTTCCTCCTTGAGAGCCGCGGCTAATTCGGTTTCCCGTTTACGCGATGCCTCAATAGCCTCGCGCTCTTGTCTCTCTTTCTCTGCCTTTCCGGCAAGTCGACTGGAACGCTTGGCGCCCGCAAGCAGCTGCATGTTAGCAAGCTCCTTCTCACGCTTGACCTTTTGTCGCTGATGGGACTCTTCTTCCTTTTCGATGATGGGAAGGACCTGCTCCACAATCCGATCACGGAGAATCTTCTCATCGGGATCCCTGGTCTTTTGAATCGTCTCCAGGAATTCCCGGTAGTCCGAGAGGGTGATAGCAATGCATTCCCACTGCATATCTGCGAAGGGATCCTTGGAAACTTCCCCGTCCGCAGCACTATCATTCTCGTCTTCGGACTCTTCCACAGGGTCAGCCCCAGTCACCTTTCTCCGTTTGGACGCTCTGACCGCCCGGGCGCTCTTTCTCCTAGACTTGCTCTTGACCGGCTTGGGTGCTGGGATCGGGGGATCGGTCCGACGATAGAGTCTGTTGTCGTCCAGGATGTAATAGTATCGTCCATCGCGATCATAGCCTATCTCTTCAATGCGCTAGGAACCCGAAAGGTGAGCGACTTGAGCATCACGAAATTTCTCCGCAGGGAGGCACCTACCCATTGTGTCTGATCCAACTCGCGCTGTTCCGGCATCTTGTCACGGATGCGGTCGGGGTTCCAGAAAGTCCAAATGGACAGCTGGTGGAGAACGCGAAGCTTCAAGAACACGTCGAACTCCAAGAACTTATTGGGAACCTCGTCATATCCAAAGGGGTTCGTGATATGGGGGGCCTTCGCGTTGTACTGGCGCCGCGTATACTCATCGAAGTTGTCGAACCTAAAAGCAAGAAGGACATGGCGTTAGCAGTAACACACAGGTAAAATGAGTCCAAGACGGGGACGTACGTGAGGCCACGATGCGACGACACCCATTTGAGGAGACAAAGTCCGATCTCCAGGAGTTTTTCTGACGACTCCGGCTTCATACACTCATTTTCTAAGTCCTAGAAAGCAAACGCGAAGCGCAAAATGTCAGTTGCTTGAAAAGAAAGCGCGACCGGAGGAAAAGAGAAAAGCAACCAGAGCAGCCCGGGCAAAAAAAAAAATAATAAATGAAGGTAGCCTCAACCGCACGGATGATGCACCCATACCTCAATTCCAAAATCCTCATCAATCTTCATAGGTTTTCCAAAAATGGCGATGTACTGCATGAGATTCGCAAATTCCCAGCAGTTCCGCAGCTTGTGAAGGAGGCCCTGTTCCTCAGGTGGCTGCTCCGGAGCAGCATCCACCTCGGAGCGGGCGCGCTTTCGCGATACCATGACGGCGGATCAAGACCATCAAAGGCGCCGCAGCGCAAGACAAGGTTCCGACGGGAGCGGCGAATCCGCTTCTGCAGTGAGAGGGGAGAATTTGTGGTCGGTTGGAACGTAAGTGATGATATGATATGATACGTGGGAGATCACGAAAGTAAATCGCACAGAAGGTGGCTCAATGTAACAAGCGGAGGGAGGGCAAGGGCGTGATCGACGGGATGGTGGGTAGTTAGTAGTTACTGAGTAGACACAGGAAATCGTTCGCCAGGGCGGGCGGGCGTATGTTCGTTCGGGGCTGGGCAGAAGAGATGAATGAGCTCACAGTCCCGTCCGTCTCACTCACGACTTACTGCTTAAACCCGGGCGGCGGCGGCGCGTCGAGACCCCCAGTCAGGTGACGTGGTTTGGTTTGGTTTGGTTCGTTTGATAGTGGCGCATCGATAAGCCCTTCATTCCAACATTGATTCACCCTTCTGTTCAAGGCTGCAGGCTGCACTTCTGTAAATAGTAGAGTTTGATATTAACTAAGAATAAAGAGGCAGTATGCATGCGGTGGTAAAGAAAAAAGAAAAGCTAGAAAGAGATGAAGCCCATCAACAACAATTGCACACATTATAGCCAGATGGAAGTTTTCACACAGCAGACAGAAGCAGAACCAGCTTAACACAACAGAAAGTAAAAGAAGGAGGAATAATAACAACAACTAAATCTTGGTATCTCGCTCAAAGAGGGTCTATCTCACTCAGGTGAAGGATGTGGAAAGGGGATCATAGAGGACAAGCAAAATGCACAAAGACAAATAGCGCCATCCGTATCCACGCCACCGCACAGCCAAACCATTGTGACCGAAATGGAAAAGAAGTGTTCAACACTGGGGGCAATGTAAAAGAGAAACGGGGGGGAAGAATGAAGTTATAACAAAATCACAGCAGGCCCAGAACAGAAAAGCCCCAGGCAATGCGAATAGAAAACAGCAAACCCTTTGATAACAATGGACACAGAAACCCCAAGCGCAAGCGGTGGTCCCCTACCTAGATTTTTTTCCCTTCCCTCTTGATCGCCTTCGTCTCCATCTTCTTCCGGTGGTTTTTTTTTTATCTCGATCTTATATTTTCATCTCGTCAATGCATTGCCATACCACGAAGTTTGCGCCTTGTTATCCATGTTTCGCCTAGAGCCGGTCCCATGCATGTCGTAAGGTTGTCAAATATACCAAGTAATAAATCAAAAGAGAAAAAGATGCTTTTGAGACTTTTTACATGGCAACACCCGGTGCGCCGTCGGAGACATTATCCGAGAGGTTGATGAGGAGCTGCGCCAGGCAACGCTTGGTGGCAGCGTCATCGCGGAGGACGGAGGAGAAGGTCGCATCTCGCAGCGGTTCGGGAAGACACTGTCGCAGAGCTTCCCGCGCTCTGCTGTTGTCGCTCAGACTGTTCAACCGTCAGCACGTGTGATTCATGCGGGGCGGGGTATGACGGAGAAAGTAGGCTTACCGAAGGAAACAACGTACGACATGTTTGAGAAGTCGAACAGTCTGTTGCTCCACAAGTTGAGTAACCATATTACTTAAGACGGTACCCACGGCATAGAATCTCTCGTAGGTCGCGCAGATGTACGCCAGGCCGATATCGTCGAGGAGAATTTTTTGCACAATGAAAATCGCGACCGTCTTGCTCAGCTCGGAGCCCGTCTCCATGATGCGAAGGCAGAGGGGGATAATTTCGGTGGTGAGAAGGAAGTTGATAACATCAGAGGAGTCATTCTTGACCAGGGCTCCGATCACTCCGAGCGAGGTGAGACGAAGGTACTCGAAGGGGCGCGACTTGGACGTCGTATTGAGGAAGGGGTATAAAAAAAGGGGAATGTGCGCTATGTGAGCGAGAGCGATAAAATGTCAGAAGTGCTTCATGGCTGTGAGACTTTCAGAGGGCCACGTACCGTTCAGAAATAGAGTCCGGGTTTCGTTGTGAGAAGCGACACACTGAAGCAGAGCCAGCGCATTGCAAACTCGATTCGAGGCCGCGGCAGTGAGCTGAGAAGGATTCAACAGCGGGTATACAGAGATGATCTCTTGTAGTAGTGCAGTCATGACTCCTAGAGGTCCGGACCATGTTAGTTGCCACCCAGATTGGTGAAGCAGGCCAGCATCGGGACCATACCGAAAGAATGCCAAATCACCAGCGCGAGCTCCGGAACCTGCTCTCTCTTCTTGCTGAGCTCCATGAGAGCCGTCTCTCTGCGATTCGGATCCAGGAGTTCTGCGACCCAGATGAAGACCTTGCGGTTCTCATCGCTGATCCCGCCATCCATTACCGACACCGCACCCGACAAAGCACCATCCCCACCTAACCCTCCAGCACCGGCTCCCTGGGAAGGGTTACCAGCACCGGCATTCCCTGCCATAGCGATCCGGGTGTAGTGTTGTTGTTGAGCGGCGGCGGCGGCAGCAGCGGCCGCCTGAACTTGGGCATGCTGTTGGGCGACCAAAGAATGCTGCTGTTGCTGAGCCTGGTGCGGGTGGGCTTGGTGGTGCTGCTGCTGCTGGTGTTGCAGCCACGAGGGATCAGCCTGCGGGTACTGATGCTGATGAGAAAAAACGTGCTGGGTTTGCGTTTGAAGCATGACGGGGTTGGCGTCGAAGACTCGGAGCACGACGGGGACTCGTAATCCTCAGGAGGGAAGACCTTGGAACAGCCCTGGGCGGATAAAAACCGGACTAAGACAGGGAACGTCGAGGGGAGTATTCAAAGTGTGTCAAGAAGCCAAGCTCGAGATTGTACTCATGGATATAGGCTATGTACACTGGGTGTGTGTAGGTGATCGTGGGGGGGAGGTTGTGGTGTTGGGGGGCGAAGTTGATTTGAATGTCGGGGTGGTGGTGAGGAGGACGGAGCGTGGAATTGATGAATGAATGAATTGGAATGGCCTTCCAGTTGGGACTTGAACTTGAGACTACGGGAGGCGGGGAGGCACTGGTTCCGCCCGGGCAGTTTGTGCCGTGCTTACTACTACTACGGAGTACTAAGAGAGGAGTAACTCAGTACAGTACAGTAGTAAACTAGTAGGAGGAAGAAGCCGTCCGTCGGAGTTTCGCCTGGACCCTTTTCTTGGAACAACTCCCCGAGTCCCAGATCTGACACAAGTCAATGATCGCCCTCCTTCAGGCAATGTGATACATGCTTTGCATTTTTCTTTCTTTTTCAGACCGGAGTACGGAGTACTTGAGTCACCCCATGTCATTTTCCTCCCAGCCCGTCCTCGGACCGTTGATAGGCGCCTTGCAGGTTACACCGTGAGAAATGCGCACGAGTTGATCTGGCAGGTGCATGATTATCTTTGTCGCCAACTCGCATCTCAAGCAATAGGCACGATCGGAAGCAGTACTCTCAGGCTCTCAGGCTCGATGCAGCCTGTGCGTGTTGCCATCTTATTTGCCGGCCTCAGCGGGAATAGTACAATTATACACCGGTACATGCCGGTAACATGCAAGATAACAAAACAGCATACTTCCGGTCTACTGTTTGCTCACCTTTTTCCATTGTTTTCAAAGCGATCTCTGATTAGATTTCATATCTTTCATTGATTTCATATTTACATCTGGCTTCCCAGGTCTTCCATCGATTGGGAAAATAAACATCGCAATCATCCGAAACATTGGCGCATCGCATAACAACATGACAACATAAGGCATCATCATACATAGAAAGTCCTTCAGCGAGAAAGCCGAAGAAAACGTCATAGAACACACGCCGGGAACCTGATAGAGCGCCGATTCATGCAGACAGCTTGTGAGAATAAGCAAGAAAGAGAAAAGAAAGGGGTCCATTGTGACCAGTAAATCGTGTTCAAAGTTCGTCGAGTTCGTTCCGTCAATTCATCATCTTCGTGAGCGCGTACGAGATCGTCTGGAGCGTCTTGTCTCCCGTGTGCGCCGGTCATCAGTGATTTCGCTGCCTAGTACGGGGTTAGCATTCCGTATGACATCAATCTCGCAAGAATGCGCAGCGCTTACCGTCGTTGGTATAATAGTCGGAGTAGTAGTAATAACTACTTGGGTATGTGTAATCCGTCTTCTCATCGTCGTCGCGATGGTCTCTGCTTCTCTTCAAGCCCAGGCACAGCGCAAGCGCACCCAGTATGATTCCAACGGTAGCCAAACCATTCCAGGAAGATTTCTTCTTCTCCCCTGCAGTCGATGCTGCTGCCGCTGCTGGCCGGCTTCCGAACCAGGTCCGTCCCTCGGGCCGAGCGGCGCCATGCGCATGCGAATGACGATGGTAACGCTCTTCGACGTAGGTCGTCTCCTTTCTCTTTCTACGACCGCAGCCCAGACAAGCAAAGAGAGAGTCCAGAATACCACGGCAGCACAGGCAAGCGCATAGTAGCAGCAGTAGGATGACGCCGGCAATTGTTCCGATGACGATGCCTGCAATCGCACCACCACTCAATCCACCACTTGAAGCCTTCATTCCGATCACCGTTGAGCCGGCCGTGTTGACGGGAGCAATAAAGCCCTGAGTGGTTGTTATTGAGGCCGTTTGTGTGGCTGTCGATAAAGTCGTGCCTCGGACGGCCGGCGTGGCAGTCTCCGTGGGCCAAATGGATGTACTTCCCAAAATACACTGGTTGCTGTAGCAGACGTACGCAGGGCCGCAGCAGTCACTACCGCAGATAGTCTCCCCAACGCTGGCATCGCAGCTGGAGCCGGACGAAGTTGCCGAGATATAGCTGCTCCATGTGGAAGTGAACGTAGCAGTCTCCGTCTCGGTTTGGACATAGGTTGTGGTGAAATACTCCCAGCTGCCGCCGCTGCCAGCACTTACGCACTCGGCTTGGCCGTTGCTGTTGGTACTACATGACTCGCTAGAGCTGCAGCAGAGCTGGCTATAGTAGCCGCAGGGATTTGCGCAGCGTTTCTCTAGGACTGTGCCATTGGCATAATCGTGCTCTTCGTACTCCAAGGTCGTCGCAATTGCGGTTGGGGCTGTAGTCGCCGTCGCCGTCGCCGTCGCAGTTGCAGGCGCAGTGTCCGGTGAGATCGCCGTCACGGCCTGAAGGTTTAGTAAAGGGAGTATAGAAATGGCCGACTGCAGTACGCGGGACATATGCATGGCGAAGAGGGAACGTCTGATCAGCGATGACAGCCACGAGGGGGGCGTATACTGGGGCTCTGGAATGTTTTCTGAATTCCGATCGCTCCCAGCGATGTCAGGGTTCAGGCTTATCACAACACCCGTGTCAACGGCCCCTTAGTATGGTAGCCGAGCTTCATACAACGGACAAAAGCATACAGTAAACAAAGCCAAGCAATGGACTGGAATGCAACTGTCAATAGTGTGGATATGGGAAAACGAGGAAAAATCTCTCCGCGAAAGCAACAATGAGCAAAGGGTTAGAGAGAGAAAGAAGGCGGCGGAGAAAGAGAGAGAGCAATAGTAAACTGAACTAGACCGAGGAAGAGCTGTTCATGCAGTCGAGTTTCCGACGTCTCCCTTTCCTGTCTTTTGATCCCAGCCTCCGTCCCGTCGTCTCCCCAACCACCGCAATTTATGCGACAGCAACCACCAATCACTGCCAATCCGCAATGAAGGAGCTGGAAGGAGTCATGATTGTCAACTTACAACTTACGCTTCATACGGTTTAAAAATGGAAATTCGGGAGGCTGGGAAACCCCCACTCAGTGCACCTGTTGCCCCTCCGAAGTGCACTGGTCAATTGCTCCAGTTCCCACTGCCCCACGTCTAGTCTACTAGTATCATTCACCCGCTGCTCGCTTTCTTGAATTCCTCCCCCTCTTTGCTGGAGGTTCCTGACAGCGTCATCATCCTTTTGCACCAGTCACCCTCATGCTGGGCAAAAGTATACGCAAACTAAGGAATTTAGCCTGCGAAACAATGTTTGGGCTCCACCCCTCTAGAGGATTTCTCCGTGACGAGACTGATAGTCGGTCTGGCCATGGTCTTCCCTGATTTGATGCCCGGGTGGAAGTTCTGTCAGGTACTGACTGCATGTCTGACTCTCTGACCACACACCGTCACAAATCAGGTATTCAGGCATGGAGACCTACCACCGCACCAGCACCAGCACCTCCTACGTGTCGTCCGAGGGCCAATTCAGTTCCTTACTTGGGCAGTGATTTTTTGGCGTACGAGTGATGCCGCAAGCCACCTTGGATCTGACCTATGATCTGTGACCTCCAATCTATACCACGGACCCGGTTTGTATGTTCCGCTCGTCACCGGTCTAGAAAGCCCTATTTATAACAATGCGTTGGTGAAGCGGTGTGTGGCACCCACCCCCGTATGCGCACATCAGACCAGTATGGATCTCATTGTCGTATTCCCACTTCATTCTAGTTCGGACCAGGATCGTGCTCAGGCTATACTTCAATTTATAAGACAGTATAGCACTTCCGCGACGGTGGATCTAACTCTGAGCCCTAATTCGAAATCGTCGTGCATTGATGCTATCTCATTGTCATTCTTATGTACAAGATTCTCCGCGAATACATCGCAGTCATGTTAGCCGTAAACTTCCGAACATAGCACATCATCGTCACATCATTTCATAAGTCAGATCCAACCGAAGATCCAGGGCATATATAAGCGTCAAAAGCTCCGAAGCCTGCCAAGAGTTTCGAAACTGGTCATCAATTGTCATCCCATTCGCATCCCAACCACTTCAGTCATAAATTGCCAGCAAGCATATATAACCAAATTCCGTACGTTATCGACATGAAGCCCGGTACTCTGTAGGACGACAACTTCACATGAACATTCCAGCCATTCCGATAAACATACCGAAGAGAAGGTCCTCGAGGCTGGAAGTGCGTCTGGGTCCTGTCGCTCGGTTCTCGTAAACGCCGGTGGTGTAGGCCGCGCAGTATCCGATGTTGAGGCCATGGCAAGCCTCCAGACTGAGACTAGAGCATGTCGACATAGCTGCTGAGACGCCTGCCCGAGTCGTCCCCGAACCGCCGTCTACGGCAACCGTCACTGCATACCCGCCCCCGAGCTGTGACAGACAACCAGTATACTCGCTCTGACATAAGGAGTAGTAGGATGTGCAGACCTGGGCATTGGCGAACGAGGTCGGGATGACGACGAATGGATAGGCGGCTGCGAGAGTTGAGCCTGTGAGAGTGACACTGGTCGGCCCGGCGGTGGTTTGCGTAGCGCTTGCTGTCTGAGGGAATCGGAAGCTACTAGTAGAACCTCCGACCACGACTACTCCGGTGCCAGTGGCAGAAAGCGTCCCCGTGCAGCTAGCTCCAGTGGGGCAGCAGGCGATATTGTTGGCATCGTCGCGAGTACAGATGGTATTGTCCTTGCAGCAGATATCGGAGTGGCCCAGCTTGGAACAAGTGTCATAACCGGAGGGACAGTTGCCGTCTCGCTTTCTGAGAATCTGTAGCACCTCGAATGCTCTGCGTCTAGACTCTGCAACTTGGGGCTGCGAGAATGGCAGAGTCTCGATCGAGTGTGCTGTTGTCTCTATCGATAGAGCCGTCGAGGCGAGGAATGCGACCGAGATCCACCCGAAAAGCTTCATTCTTGAGGGGCTAGGGCTGTTGTGCGCCCGCCAAATTGTATCGAGGATGGATGTGTAGCGTGGATTCAAGACTGTAAATTGGTGCTCACAATGGCTGTCGTTTCGCGATCAGGATAGGTACCTTCGACTTTGATCCAATGCGATAGTTGCAGAGCGATCAACAAACTTCTCGAAGCGGCCGAGACGAGACGATCTATAGATAAGGGAAAGATTAGCTCTCGCTGAATTGGGGTTCATAGCAAATTATGAACTCAACCAGGCTTGCAAAAGAAAGACTCACAAGGTGACTGAGTGAAAGTAAACCCTCACCTTCTAGCCTATGAATTGGAGCAATCAAGTCTGCAGCGGATCAGGGTGGGTGATGGAAAGCTGGCGCTGCTGCATCTTCCGGCCGTTCAGGCAGCGGCGTCTCCACTAGAGACTAGAGTCCCCTGCCACAGCAACGGATCGGCGCCTGCGGTGGTTTCTAATCCCGGGCCTCCTCCTGCCTCCTGCCGCCCATGTTGGAATAATGGAGCCCGCTTGTTCTCCTATTTTTGGCCAAGTGAATCATCCTACTCTAGGTACGGGACGGTGTGGTCAGGAAACGCCCCGGGTGTCCGCCGGTGGCCCCTTCGCTCCCTTGGCTAATGGATGATGTGGATAATGTCTGCTCCATTGCCAACGATCAATTGATAGGCAGGGTCCTGGTGATGTCATCCTTGTAATCTTAATCTACTACTGAGCATACTCCATCCCATACCTACGTACCTCAAACCTTACCCACACCATAAACCACCCGAAGCAATACACAAGAATTGATTGCTGTACGCTGCCTACTAAATTCACTTACACGAAACTTACTTCCTCGCTTGTAATACCAATCCAGCGTGTCAAGTCAAGGGTTGTGATCGTACAGGTCGAGAAAGATAACCAGGCATGTGACTGGGGAGGGGCTTGCTGATTCATATGTGAGATGAACACGAAGGAGCTCTACCTTCCAGCTCCATTAATCTGCGCACTTTACTCCCTGCCACTTATACTCAAACTGATACATTGATAGAGACACCCACGCTGCTAATCGGCAGAAACAAAACCCCCACTAGCTTGGACCAGCATGTCTTCAATCAGCGAACCTACTCCCATGACAATCCCCATCGTGGATTTCAAAGCATGGTTCAACACTGAAGATGAAGCCGCCCGCCGACGGGTTGCACAAGAGCTCATGGAAGCATGTCAGCGAGTCGGCTTCGTTTACATCATCAATTACTCTCTGCCTGAGCATGTCCTCGACTCGACCTTCGACTGGATGAGACGCTTGTTCGAGCTCCCGAAGGACATTAAGATGCAAGCACCTCATCCTGAGGGGTGGGCAGTACATCGAGGATATTCCTGGCCGGGATTGGAGAAAGTTTCCCAAACCATCAGCACTGGGGACGATGAAGAGACACGGCAGAGGCTGAGAGAAGTGCCAGATGTCAAGGTGTGTCTGATGGTTCACCGTATCGACCCTGCATAGTCCCTTGAAGCAGTCCTAGAATGTTATGTCTTAACGACGATGGACTCTTTAGGAAATTTACGATATTGGAAGTGAAGAGAACACTGCTCAACCAAACCAGTGGATTATCGAAGAGGCACTGGCGGGCTTCCGCAGCTTTATGAATCGGTTCTACTGGGATTGTAACGGGGTGGGCATCGAGATTCTCCGCGCTCTTGCCCTTGGCTTGAACCTGGACAATGAGAATCATTTGGCCCAAAAGCACTCAGGCCATAACAATCAGTTGCGACTCCTACACTATCTACCGGTTCCAGCAGATGATCTTGAAACAGATCGGGTAGCTCGATGCCCTGCACACACCGACTGGAGCTCAATCACAATGCTTTTCCAGGATGGTTGTGGTGGCTTAGAGGTGGAAGACATCTCTCAGCCGGGCAAATTTGTCCCCGCTGCTCCTGTCAAGAATGCAATCGTCATGAATGTTGGAGATCTCTTGCAGCGATGGAGTAATGGTTGGTATATTTCTCTTGAACTGTAGAGTATGCTGACTCGTACAGACCGTCTTCGGTCTACCAATCACCGGGTCAGACTCCCGCAGTTATCCAATCGCTTTGAGGGCAGTAATCGTATGACGCGCGAACGCTTTTCCATTCCGTACTTCATGGCTCCAGACCCTGATTCGGTCATCGAGTGCATTCCATCGTGCATGAGTGAGGATGAACCGGCCAAGTACGAGCCGATCACTCAAGCAGGCTACAATCAGATGCGAGCATCGATGATGTACTAGGTTCGATTCAATTTAGAACAACATTGAGCGCAAATCTTCAACCAAGGTCATTTCCCAGGAGTAGAAGATACCGAACTACTCCAAGCTATTAGCCCTGAACCCTACCTCGGGTCCTTAAACAGTAATCAACCCTCACCGCCTGAGAACATATCCAATCAGAATCGGGAGCCTTCATGCGTTCATCAGCGACAGCAACAGCTTAAGTTTGGAGGTCCGTAATCAATCATTTACGGAGTACTATCACGAGCGACACTCCTAATACAACGTCCGACTGTAAAAGTGACGACAACACCCTTTCAACTTCCTGAGTCAAGGATCCAGTTTTCACTTCTACAAGCGCTCGAACCCCCTCTCGAAGGAGCGAACATTAGGACCAACGCGATCTACCCCTCCCTCCTACTACCCCTTAACTCCGACACCAACCGTCATAATGTCCATCCCCAACGAAGCTCTGCAGAAGGTCAGTTATGAGTCCCAAGCCCCAAAACACACACCTCCATCACAACACACTGAACCAACACCTTGACAGATCCTGCAAGAAATCGAGGCCCAGGCCATCAGCTCCCAACAGCAATTGGGCATTACCAAGGCTCAGATCACCACCAAACAGCGTGACATCCGCATGCTCGAGCTCACATCCAAGGAGATTGGAGACCTACCCAAAGAGACGCGTGTGTATGAGGGTGTTGGAAAGATGTAAGGCTCCCGCTTCCTATTGATCCCATGCATGTTTCCGATATTCAGGTAGGCGGATGGTTTACTATCTGCTTACGGAGACATCCACCGCCTTCACTTCTCTCGGGCTGTTCTATAAACATCCTGAAATTCCCCTCTAGTGATTTCGCAATTACATGATGCAATGACTAACCATCTGAATTATCGCAAACAGGTTCGTCGCAGTCCCCATCCCCACCATCGACAGGCGGATATCCAGCGAGAGCAACGAGCTCAAATCCGAGATCACGGGATTGGAGAAGAAATTACATTACTTGGAGATGACGCATAAGAATAGCCGGGAGAACTTGGAGCAGATCTTGAAGGCCGGGCGCGCTTGATGAGCTGCAGCTTGTCTATACTTCATCAGAACAAAATTGGGCGCTGTGGGGTCTTTTCGTCTTCTCGCTTCTTGTGGATATTTGTTCAATTATTATACCTTTTTTTCCGGCAAAACGGCTGTGTCTGTGTGAGAGCAGGTATGCGATGTACATGATGGAGGGATTCCGAGGAGAGTTCGGAAGGGCAAAGACCTATCAGTCCCGTTTATCCTCGTGGGCGGAATTCACGCCTGAAGATAAAAGGAATTGACCAAGTAGGTAGGGCTCGATGCCAGTGAGATGGTTTTTTTTGCCTGCGGATAGGATGATCTCACCTCAATCACGACACTCAGGACCAGGGACGCGGCTGGAGCGGCAAACCCCATCCTTGCTGGGACACAGCATGTGTATGTCTCAGACCATGCATATCCGAGGAGAAGCATTGAAGGATTGGAAGAATGACAGCAGCCAAGGCATCCTCTCACCTCACTCGGTGGGCCTGCTTGCTGCTTTGCTTGCTGATTGCTCGACCATTCGAGACGGAAATGCTCGATTCGCCATCGCATTATCCATTCAGACCATCGCTTATCGGTGTGGATGGCTCTGTATCCATGTCCGTCGTTCTAATATCAGACTCTTTCGAATATAATAGGTCGGTATAATACGGCGGGTTAAGCGTCAGGGTGCATACATGTACCCTGGAGCTTACTTGGCTCAGGCCACCAGTAGCAAGCAGCGTTCTAGATGTTTTCTAGGACACACTCATGTCGGACAAGTAACATGCATCCTGTGTATCGAGGGCGAACGTCGATATACCTGGTAAGCAACCTAGCACGAAAGATCCATATGTCAACGCGATGTCTTATCTCCTTATCGGTTGCATGAATATGCATCGTGGGCAAAAGTACCTCTTTGTTTAAGCAATGATGAATGACTGTCAGCTCGGATGGACTTGTTCAGGGTTATACAAGATGTCGCATTCCATGATCATGGCTGATCTCTTGGTGAGGCGATCAGGCAATTGCACTTGGTGGAGTGCAGCAGTGTCCTGACCGGTTACTCGTACTCGACTTGGGAGCAAGCGCGATGCAGGCGGCATACCACTCACGTTCATTTGCAGGCTCAGCTCCATGAATCCGAGAAGTCATATCGATCTTTGGGCCCTGCAACACTCGCTACGACTAAAGTAAATCAACCCATTAACAACATGATTCCGATCGGTGAAAGCTCACTCTTCCTCGATCCAGGTACGAATCATTGAATACCAGGTAATACAGGAGTACAGCCAGGAAATGAGGTGACACGAGCTGTCTTTGCTATTCATAGCTCACAAAAGCAAAGAAAGAAAAAAGACCATCAAGGAGATGATAGCATGATGATCGCCCTTTCAGCTACAGCACTTAGTCTCAATCCTAGGGAATCCAACAGCCAATTCGTCGTCATATGTCTTAAAGTTGCACGACTGAAAGAGCACAACCACAACCCCGCACATCCTTATATTGCTCAGCCTCAAGACCATAGCCCTCAAGGATGATGCTCAGTCCGATGCTCTGCGACACCCTCCCGATAAAACCATGGCCCACACTATCCATCTGAGTTCAGCCGTCGGTCGACTCTAGCATGGCACGTACAGTACATTACATAGCAGCACATGGCGTTTAGTGCACTGATCCTTGTGCAAATCTACCTTCAAGATACATAACGCCACTAGACATCCTACTTTCTAGAACAGACGCTCTTGCCGTCGACACAATCTCGGCGATGATAGAAATACTTTCAACGTCCTAAAGTTTGGTGAAGATGCGGGGCGAAAGAACCCAAAAAAGGAAAATGACATGTAAATCATTTCCTTTTCTCCGCTGCTCCAACAACACGACGCCGCTCACCCAACTTCGCCCCGGGGGGATTTCCTTGCATCCTGCATAATGATGGAGACGAAAGACCCTCTCTCCTCCGCGGGATCGACTGGCATACTACCTATCGGTCTCTTAGACTTGGAAACAAGAATAGTAAAAGGCTATCTATTTGTTAGGTTTCAGCCGATCCAGACCAAGATTGCCTGACAGCCCGGCATCATAGCTGCAGACCCTCAGCAATCTAGGAACAGGCCAGGACGCCTGAAGACAGATCGAAGAAAGGGTATAAATAGTCCCTGCTTCTCGGTGTGCTGCAAGGAGAGATTTGCTCGGAAAGCAGCAAGACAAACTTTTCCCTTCACGACCAGTTCTATAACCAAGTCTATTGATCAACCTCGGGTCTCTCAGTGTTGACAATCTATCCAAATCAATCCTCAATCAAGCACCATGCAACTCTCTCTTTATGTTATTGCTGCCCTGAGCCTGGGGATTGCCGCTACTCTGGCGGCTCCATTCCCAGGGACAGAAGTCAGTGCACAGAGTTCTGCCACATATCATTGGCACGGGTGTGGCTCAGTCGGCAGTGTATGTTCTCTCCCCTCAAATATCCGGGGTAGTTGCCTCACTAACGATCGCTGAACAGTGCTCTAGCGATAGCGATTGCCAGGTTGACGAGAACTGCCTGAGCATGGCTCAGAACGTACGTCTGGAAGACTCTGTGGTTCGCGTTTCTTTGGCAGCGCAAGATCACTAAACGGATTATTTGAATATAGGAGACTAGTCATGTCCACTGCGGACAGGAGAATCATCCCACTGCATGCTGGGCTGTAAGTGCCATTATTGTCTATATTATTTCTTGAATCCTCTGCTGATCAATTTCACTTCTGTTGGTAGGAGTGGTTTGAGTGAATCGAAAATTGAGACCGTTTACGCCAAGGATATACGCCAGATTGATGGATATAATGCAGCGGATGGATTTAATATGGGTAATATGAGTCTATGGAAGGCCTCAATAATGACGACGATAATGGAAAAGTCTACTTGTTTCCCTTCTTCCTGTCCTTCTTTGTTCATCTCTTTTGACTGGCAGGCTGAAGAGCGGGCCATCTCAACATCCACGTTTTCCCATACGGGAGCCCACACATAGCATAATGTGTCAGTGCTGATAGAATGACAAGACATGACAACCAATTTCACATCCGTTATGATGACATCGCACAGCCACTTATCGATGTACTCGTAGCGAAGTCAAGCCTTTTCGAATCCGAGATCGCGGCCGTAGACCAATCTAAAAACACCATCTGATCGATAGATGATTTGGGCTGCAAAGCGAAGCATCAATTAGACTGTTTTTCGCCTCCTCCTTTCCACGACCACACTGCTACGTACTGTACAGTGTTCCGTACATTCCGAGCCGATCTTCATGATGGGGATGGATGCCAGACAAACATCGACGAAGGATGGCAAGAGATCAGGCAGCTCTCCCCCCCTAGGTATCCAGATCCCGGACGGCTCATTGGTGACAGAACCCGATTCAGGGTGGCGGTGGCCATAAGTAGGTACTGTGTTTGCTGTCACTCTACGTGTATTCCCAATTCTCGCCTGCTCTATACCTTCCGGGTGAGTCGTATCGGATGCGTGGAGGGACCAGGTGCCTTCGGGTTTTGATGGTTGATCGACAAGGGATTAGCTTCAGATAATGGAGTCGGGATGAGGCTGTGACTGGTGGTGTTGGGGGCCAAAGACATGGCAATTGTGTATTCAAGTTTACTGTACAGTACAGAGTAAATTGGGACTGTGGCTCAGTCAACCTGGAACAGGGCTTGGTTTCGCAGTGCACACATGCTTCCGTGACCGCAACTCAAGGCAGCCCGGTCAGGTGTCAAGTGGCTGCGACCGTGAGTTTACTATTAGAGCAAAACGAGAATCACGCTGAATCGGACAATAACCATTGGTAGGGAGGGTCAGAAGATGTATACTGTGGGTGCATGTACAGCTCAGTAGAGTACTGTACACAATATGTGTGTGTGTCATCTGCTTCCATTCAATAAGACTCATAATCGTGAGGGGAGACTCCACTCTCGGGCAGGACCAACTCACCTTTTCTTACTGTGTACCTTCGAAAGCCTCTTAGCCTGCAGTACTAGTAACTGCTCCAGGCTGCACATAGCCTGGACTGAGTCCATCAGGTACCAGCGGAGTCCACTCTTTAGTTACCGCTCGACCTTTCAGCCTGTGCCCCTCTTTTTTCTTACCCTTGCTTTGGTTTCCAGACAACCAAGTCCCAGGGTCCCTTTTTCTTTGCTCGCCCATGGATACCGCAGCGGTTGTTCCCGTCCCCCTTTCCTTGGGTCAGAATATTGACAACATCCCTTCAGAGAATATGGCTGTGTATCGGAAGAATTGAAGAATTATTCTTTCTTCTAGCCTCCGTGGTCTATCACTGAAGGATAATGTCGTAGCATCTTCGTATGTTGCACTGACTGGAAGTTACCAGAATAAGCTACAATGACATCCAGACCTGACAGCCGCCGCTAAGTGCGTTAAGTTACCCCTCCATTGAAGCCATCTACTGTACGGTAGACCGGCGTGTATCATACTCTTATTTCGGAGGCTTGTAGTTTCCACGGATCAGCCCTACCAATGTAAGGTGGTGTGTGGACTAAAGCATGGTTTACGACAGACAGACAGACAGATAGAGAATACAATTTTTCCAAGACAGAATCTCTCTTCTCTGTCCACGGTATTCTTGGTCTGGGTCTCCGACCTATCGTAACTGAGGACAACTGAGCCAGGCAAAACCGACAATGACAGGTTCGGTTGCCAGATGATCAATCAGCTCGGCCCAATGATGCCAACCGTTCGTTCCCCCACTTCAGCTGAACAAGACAGAAGGAAGAGAAATACTTAGAGGCACGAGGGAAGGCTTTGCACCTGCTCGTTTCTTTCCTTGTTTTTCCCTTTCCTTTCTTTGCCTTGCCTCTGGTCTCTTTTTCTTCCTCCCTCTTCTTTCTTTTCCCATCAGTCCCTGGGTATATCGTTGAAGTTGGTTGTTATTGTTGTTGGCCCCGTCTCTTGCTCACCCCGCCCGCCATCATTATCACCACCACTGCTATCACTACGTACTGCTGCTGTTCTCCTCCCAGCCTCCTTCCCCCTCTTTTAATTCAGCCCCGTCGACGTCACCGCCTGCCATCCAGTCATCCCATCCCCTCCTCCCTCCTCTTTTCCCCCCACCATCCAACGGTCTGACTTTATCCATATCCAAACACCATACAATCACAACAAGAGAACATAAACTGTGAGCAAGTTATATTGCCAAAGGAGAGACGCAGAAGAAGAGATATAGAACTCTCGCAACCAAGAACCAAACAATCATGGGTTCCCGTCGACGTCACGTCCTCCTCACCGATTCCGAATCGGACTTCTCCGAATCGGATATCTCGATGGTCGAGTACCCCGGCCGCAAGGTGAGCCATCGTCACCGCTCCGTTTCGCGGCACCGGCACTTCAGCCCGGAGTACAGCAGCAGCAACGCCTACCTCAGTCCCGTCCTGCACAGCGACGCACAGCAGCAGCACCTCCACCGCTCCGCCTCCACGGGCGCCCCCCGCCGCCGCCCCGACCGCCACCACCGCGACCACAGCCAGGCCCCCGTGGCCGTTATTGTCGACGTCAACAACCACAACGACACCAAGTCCGACAACAAGACCGACGCCAAGACCGACGCCAAGACCGACTCTCGCAACAAGAGTGCCACCAAGCAACGCAAGGCCGAGCACCGCCTCAGCAACACCTACAACATCGACTACGACGACTCCGAAGATGAGACGAACCTGCGCGCCCACCGCCGCCGGCCGCGCTCCAGCACCGCCAGCATCTCCCGCGAGGCGTCCCCGCGCGCCCCCGCCGTCGGGGCGCCGCAGATGATCCCCGCGGGCCGCGACCGGGACTTCGAGCTCGTCATCGACCAGCGGCTGCTGGAGCAGAACGACGCCCGCCAGGACCTGGAGCTGTTCCGCCAGCAGCAGGAGATCGAGCGGCTGGAGCGCGAGCTGGCCCGCCACCGCGAGGTCCGCGAGCACCAACAGGAGTACCGGCCGCACCACGAGGTGCGCATGCTCAAGCAGGAGGAGGACTGGTACGAGGACGAGATCAGCGAGCGGCTGCGCCGGCTGGAGCGGTTCGAGAAGAAGCAGCGCATGGAGGAGGAGCAGCGCCAGGTCGAGCACCGCTACAAGCTGATCAAGTTCGAGGAGGCCCAACGCCAGGCCGCCGAGCAGGAGGAGCTCAACCGCAAGATGCGCCAGAAGCGGCTCGAGGACCTGCAGCGCAAGATCGACGAGGAGGAGGAGCGCGAGCGCATCAAGAAGGAGATCCGCGACGAGGAGGCCCGGCGGATCCTCGCCGAGCAGGAGCGCGCCCGCAAGGAGGCCGCCATGAAGCAGGCTGCCATCGACGAGTGGAAGCTGAACGAGGAACGTCGCATGATGGCGGAACGCGAGGAGAAGAAGCGCCGTGATCACGAATTCAAGGAGAGATTGAGACTCGAGTTCGGCTACAATGAACACGAGATCGAGGAGATCCTCCGGAAGAAGGAGAAGAAAGAGAAGAAAGAAGAGAAAAAGGAGGAGAAGAAAGAAGAAAAGAAGGAGGAGAAGAAGGAAGAGAAGAAAGAGGAGAAGAAGGAGAAGGAGAAGCTTCCGGAGCCTGAGCCACACCAGCGAACCACCTGGATTAAGGTATACCTCCTCCCCTTGTAAGTTATCTGACTATTAAGCTGACTGACTGGCATTAGGTTCACCGCAAGCATCTACTCCCTGATACACTGATTGCCTACCGTCTCCCATGGGACTGGGACGATGTACGTTAACTCCCTACAGGAAAGACGACACACATATATTTCAATTACAACATCACTAACTGACTCTTCCATCACAGCTCGACAGCAACTACATCATCATCAAGCAATGGATCTCCGAAGACTTCCAGGAAGAGCTCTTCGCCCACACGCGGCGCTTGCGCGAAGGCAAGCTCGTCACCCAAACCTCCAGCACCCTCACCGAGCTTAAGGTCAACGACAAGAAGAAGGACAAGATGTACCTTGTGAGGAAAAAGAACCCCGGTGGCCGGGCCTGGATCCTTACCTGATCTCGAGCTACAAGCCACCACCACCACCACACCACCTGATAGAACAAAACACACACAGACCCCCCCGCCGCCCCATCTAAATTCTTGAAATTATGATACCATGATCTTGTCTTAACGTCTGTCACGAAATTCGGTATCATCCAGCCGCCTTTTTCTTTCTTGTTTGTTAACTTCCTTCTTCTTCTGAGAAATCTCTTGTCGAGTTAGTGGTACAGATCCAGTGCAATTGGGGGGTGCCAGGATGCTATCTATGTCAAGTCTAGTATTTTCTTGATTTCCATTGTGTCATGAGTTGGGATTTTGAATGCCTTTTTTTTTCCTAGTCTTCCAAAGGAGTTGAACATATAATATGATACATTTGCATGTGATTGCAGAGAGAGAGTGAGTTGTCGAGCCCTTTCATCTATATAGTTCGTAAGAGGGAAAGAGATTCCGTTGAGGGGAGGCTAGAGAGGAGGGTGAGAGACCTTCCCCTCTCCCCAGAGTATCATTTTTGTGATGGTAATCATGAGCGTGATTCTCCCTGCGCGGCCCACTGCACCTCAGCGCGCAAGATGAGTTCCTCGTACACCGTCCAGGCGAGCGCGGAGCTGAGAGCCTTCCTCGTGATGCGCAGCCCCAGCCCGCCGAACAAGCTCCGCACCCCGTCCTCGCGGACCATCAGCCTCGCCGCCCGCATCATATTGCCGTACCGGCCCGGCATGAGCTGCAGGCGCGTCTTGACCGCATCAAACGGATTCGTGATCGCTGTGGCCAGACCCGCAGCCAACCCCCCCGAAACAAAATTGATCGACGAGGACGAAGCCGACCGCAGCGGCTGCTGCTGCTGTTGCCCCTCCGCGGCGGCGGCGGCGGCAGCGCGACTACTCGCCAGCGCGGCCAGATGGCGCTTCAGCTGCTCGTAGAACAGCACATAGAGGCCAGCGTAGGGGGCGTCGCGCGCAGCGGTGGCGCCGAAGCCGCTGAACAAGCCGCGCACGCCCTCGGTGCGCACGATGTCCCGGCCCGCGCTGAGCAGGCTGCGGTAGGCGTAGAAATCCGACTCGTACCGGACCTTGAGGACGGTCACGGGCATCATGACGAAGCCCGCGGCCACGCGGGCCGCGGCGCCGGTGGCGAGGTTGGCGGAGTTGGAGAGTTTGGGAAGGGCGGAGGAGGATGTGTGTGAGGATGAGGGTTTTGCGGAGCTGCTGCTGTTGCTGCTGCTGCTGCTGCTGCTGCCGCTGCTGCTGCTGCTGCTGCCGCTGGGACTACTGGCAAGGACGAGGGGCATCTGGGTCTGGGCCAGCCCTTGGCGGAGGGCGTTCAGGCTGGTGAAGTACAGGGCGGAACCGAAGCCCGTGCGCAGGGCCGAGGGGAGGGTGCCGCGCCATAGGCCGCGGATCGGGTGCGGAGAGGAGAGGATCGCTTGGAGGGTCGGGAGGAGGGAGGCGCTTTGGGATTGCTGCACGCGGGTTTTGAGGAGGTCGGCCGGCTGGAGGAGGATGGAGGAGGTGAGGCCCGAACAGAGGCCGGCGGCGAAGTGGAAGGTTGTCTTGGAGGCTGGGGTTGTCCGGGTGGGTTAGTGGGCAGACATGGTTATTTGCTGATAGTTGGGTGTTTGGGGGGAGATGAGAAGTGTGAAGGTGAGTCAGGGCTTTGCTTTGTATCACTGAAGGCGCAGACTCACGCGTGGAGGTTGTTTTCACCTTCGTCACCGCATAAGAGGCATTGTCCGACATGTCTATGGAGGTCTCCTTCAGGTCGGTCCTGGGAAGGGGCCTTCGATGTGGTAGAGGGATGTTTGGTGTAGTTGGTATGCGCAAGCCTCAGTTCATTGGGAACTCAAGGGCAGGGAGGGTTCTGAGTGTGAATCGATGAAGAATTCCGAGGGTCCTAGACAAGCCGCATCCAAGCGGTCACATTCACGTTGATAGAGGCAACGACAACATTTCAATCAATACACAGAGAAAGAGATAGGCTTCAGATAGGCTTCGCGGGTAAGCGATAGGGTGAAGGAAGATATTCGCCTGAATTAAGTCAGATATAATGTTCCAACAGCACAAAATCAATTCAATTAAGAAAAAAAAAAAGGAAAAGACGGTGTAGAATGGATGGGAAGAATTGCACGTTCACAGCAGAGACTCTCGGGAAGGGCCTCGGACGGACATTTTGGACCCATCCAATTTTCCTGAAGCGGCCAAAAGCGGATCCGCTGGTAGGAGCGAGTGAAGTCATCAGTCACTAGCCCGGAAAGCAGGCTGATTGGCGGATCCAACCGCACTCAGCACTCTCTACGTTCACTGCCAGTGTTCAGTGACTGAGTGTTCTTCCGGGGTGTCCCGCGCAAGGGATCGATCGATCGCATTGCAGCTTAAGCTTATTATTCTCTCCAGATTAACGGACAATAGGGGGTTGAGATTATCACAAAGGACTAGTAACTAGTGCCATGTCTCTGGATCCTCAATGCACTTGTACATTGTACCACTCTTCTTCACGATTCTACTGTGATTATGATAAGTGAGGAACTATATTGCACCAGTTCCGACAAGGGCGTAGACCTCGTGTACAGTACCAGTACCTTTCCCAAGGTCTCACTCGCAATCTACGCCTCGCCTCTACTTAGGATCCAGCCACTAAAGCTTCTTTGGCGCAGAGCTAAACATCTTTCCTGGATATCCTAGACAATCCGTACAATGGAGCGATCTGACATGCCTCGAACACTGGACGGATGGCAACCTTGAATGAAGATTGTCGCACCCAGAGCATGTGCCGCGGGAAAGGGGCTGAATGCAGAAGGATGTTGCCCTGTCCTCCAAAAACATTCACTATCGCTAGAGTAGGCATGGCCACTCCATCATTCGACCATTCATCTGGCCGGGCCAATCGGCAGGCAATGAAAGCAGCCTGACAGTCTGACTGGGCCGGGCGCAGATCAACTGTGGTTGTCGATCGACGTCACGGGTCTGAGAGGAGTCAAAGAGAGGGAGAGAGAGGGAGAGTGTGTGGAAACTGGAGACGGAGCTGGGACTTTCCAAGGCAACTCCAATCTGTCAACCCCGGCTTTCACTTTCAACAACCCTTCGTTTTTTTCTCTCCTCTCTCTCTTTTTTCCGATTCTCATAACTGCCATGCTCTTCTGCCTATAACCCAGGTTTCTACACAGTTCCGTCGACTTTGAGAGCTTATTGCAGCCCCTCTTCCCTGCGGAGAGCTTCCCTCCTCCTTCTCCGTCCATCATGTCTCGATGGGCTTTCCTTCCGAACATTCCGTATCCGCCCTCGAGGCCGGGGTACTGGAGCCCCGTCACATCCACCCTGAATTGGTGTGAAGAGGTCCGTCGCCATGATCTGGTCGCCTATCTGAGGATTACATATAATGCTAACAGGTCTCTTGCATAGGATTACTATGCTACGATTTACTCTGCCGAGATCGTCAACACGCTGACAAACCTCCTGTTTATGTGGCTCGGGATCAAGGGCATTCGCAGCTGTCGTCGCAACGGACATGACAGGATCTTCGAAGTCGCCTACTACGGCTATCTCGTGGTCGGAACAGGCAGCTTTCTTTTCCACGCAACGCTGAAATGCAAGCCAACCTTCCTAACCTTCGCGCCCTTACATACTGAGCTGTGGACTGACCGGTTTCCTCTCCACGCAGATCCCATGCAGCTGGTGGACGAGCTGTCCATGATCTACACCACCTGTCTGATGTGCTATGCCTCCTTCTCCTACTCCAGACCCACGCCCTTCCGCATCTTCCTGGCCTTCCTCCTGGCCGGTCTGGCCATTTTCATCACCCTCTACTACCACTACCTCCAGGACCCCGTCTTTCACCAGAACGCCTACGCACTCCTGACCACGGTTGTCGTCCTGCGCAGCATGTACACCATGGAGGTGACCCTGCGCCCGCGATGGCGCCACTCCACCGAGGCGGACCGGCTCGCGCGCGAGCGACAGGGCTTGCCCGTCCCGACCAAGGAACACCAGCACTACGAGAACGTCCGGGATATGAAGACCCTCAAGACCATGTGGTTCATGGTGGCGTACGGCCTCAGCATGTTCTTGGGCGGATTCGGGATCTGGGGCTTGGACAACGTCTTCTGTTCGAAGATCCGCGGATGGCGCCGGGAAGTGGGTCTGCCTTGGGGGATCCTTCTTGAAGGCCATGGATGGTGGTACGTTTCTTGTTGATCCTTATCGTGTCGTGCCAGATTATTTGGACATGAATGCAAACAAATGCTAACTTGGATCTTGCTTAGGCACTTGATGACGGGGTTCGGCGCTTATCTGTATATCATCTGGGGCATCTGGCTCCGTCATTGCCTGAACGGTCGCCAGGAGGAGTATCATCTGTGGTGGCCCCACGTCTGGAATTTCCCTGAGGTCATTCGCACAAGCGACAAGGGTAGGAGTGAGAATGGCGCGGCTAAGAAGTCGAACTAGATCGGGTATATCTTTTCTTTTCTTGTTCTATTGATTTAGATCAGCCGCTTGGGAGTGTGGTATGAGCACTGGGAAGTGAGCGCTCCGTTTTCGTGGTCTCAGGCTAAGAGAACTGCGCTGCGAATTGGGGCCGTGCTCATTGCCGTCACCTCGGCCACGCTCTTGGGACCTTATCCTACTTATAGAAGTAAAATGAACCACATCCAATTGCTAAATAGCCTACTGTACATATACAGTATATAATCTCTAGCGCGCAAAATAACATAGTCATCTATGGACATAACAATCACGCCCCTTACAACTTCGACTCGGGAGCAGCCTTCTTGGGCCTCTCCGCCCTGGGAACATGCTCCTTCCACCGAGCATCGATGGTGACCTTCTCAATCTTCGACTTCTTATGCCACCGCTCCCGGAAGGCCTCCTCCTCAGCCCGCCACCGCTTCAGCTCGCCGCCGAGCCACTCACTCGCCGCCTCGGCGCACTGCCCCGGCGCCTCCTGGGCCAGCAGATGCCCAAAGTCCTTCAGGTAGACATCGCGCACCCGGCCCGCCGCCACCCCTCCACTCCCGCCGAGCCCCGTCCCCGTCGCCCTCAGCTTATCCGCCATCATCTCCGGCAAACACATATCCGACTTCCCCGCGAAGACGTAACAAACACTCGGCCGGAGATGCGGCAGCATCGCGAACACCCGCGACGGCTCCGGGCGGTAGAACGGCCACGACCCCAAATGCTCCGGGTTCAGGTCCGGGTGCGTCGTCCGGTCCACGGGGACTTCTCGGCCGGGCGGTCCGTCGTAGTTGGGCCGCGAGAACGTGAAGACTTCTTGGTGGAGGGTGGTTTTGAGGGTGACGGGGCGGGTTTTGTCGTCGTCGGCATCATCCTTTGGGGGGTCCGACGGGTGGATCGCGGTGGGAAGGTCGCGCAGACCGTGCTCGATCCACCGGGCCAGCACGCGCGGGTCCCACGCTTGGTAGAAGGGGCTGCGCTGGAAGCTCGCTGCGGCGGCTGCGCGCGAGGGCCACACCTCCCGCCGGTAGGTGGAGAGTTGCGTGGTTTTGGCGATCGTCTCGCGGTGGTGGTGCGCCATTTCCAGGTGGTCGAGTTGCGTGGATTCGCGCTGGATGACTGGGTCTAGGAGGATGAGGGTGTGGATGAGGCGCGGGTGCATGAGACATAGTTGGGTTCTTTTGGTTGGGGTTAGTGGAGGGGGGCCCTGTGGGTGCTGTAGAAGGAAGGAGGGGGGCGGGGGGGGGGGGGTTCCGTACAGGTGTGCGCCGCCCATGCTATGGCCTACACCCACGATGGGTCGTAGCATCTCCTTGCGCTTGACGTTGAGGAGGTGCAGGAGATCTCGGGGGTGGTCGAACCAGCTCGCTGTTTATGCGTGCGCGCGCATGTTGGTCAATGGCTGTGACTATTGAAATGGGGTAGGAACTAGGTACACATACGGTCATTTCCGAGAAGGTCCTCGTTGAGCACACTGCTCTGGCCCTGGTGGGCTACATCTGCCATCCAGATGCTCCGGATGCGAAAGCCATTGGCTTTGGAGCGTGCGTAAATCTCTTCCCACAGGGGCTCGTACAGTTCCTGGCGATGAAGGGGTCAGTTGGGCTGTACTGGTTGTCGGTGCGGGGAGCCGCTGTGTGACAGCGGCTGTGAATTGCGCGGCGGTACCTTGGGGAAGCCATTGGCATGTGCGGCAAGGATTGTGACGTCTCCCGGCTGGGGGTTGGGGTTGTCCAGTGGGATGTACTGTTTTACTGCAAGGTTTAGAATGTCCTCTTGCTCGTTGGCGGTGGCCGCGGGATACTCTCGTATATGTTGGCATTCGACCGTGTGCTCGACTACCCGGAAGGGGCTGGATGTCGCTGGTGACGAGGACATGTTGGTGGTTGGTTCCTATGGGGATCTATGCGCGACCAGAGGGTATAGGGAGGCTATGCATATATAATACTTCAACCGGTGCCTCGGGGCGTGGGGAAGGGAAACTATTTCCCCAGATCGGAGTGGTGAACTGCCGGGGTTGAAAACGAGCCGAGGTTGATTAGTAGAGTGCCCCTGATGATACTCTCATATTTTTTTGATGATAGTGTCAAGCAGGTGAACAGTTATCACATCACCAGGCAAGATGGCCGAGTTGGTCTAAGGCGTCAGGTTAAGGTTACCTTAGCACATAGCTTCACAGCTTCCTGATCATCGTTTGATGGCGTGGGTTCGAATCCCACTCTTGTCATATTTTTTGCCCTTTTTCGGTCGTTGATCCATCTTCGCCTGTGTTCAATCATGATTGTTGATGTAAACGTTAGACTTGACTTTTTTCTTTTCCTGTTCCATTTTCGAGGGACTGCGGGGGATGTTGATTCATGGCGATGCAATTGATTGTTTTTTAGATAAGTTGTTGCCTGGAACGATGGCATGATGTGGACGAGACAGGTTTCAGTGCGGTTTACGGAGTAACTTATATATTTTATGTTGCGGAAATCATGGGCATTCTTGCGGCAAGAGATGCTTTTAAATCCCTCCTATCCATCGCCAATGCGTAGTTTCCCATTCAACATGGCCGAATCGAGCATGTAAGCCTAGCAATTATACGACGATATACGCATCGACTATGAGGATTTATGTTTTGACTATACGAATGTGTTACTACTGAAAGATAACCAGTGGGCGGTTCAGCCAATTAGTATGGAGATAGCATAACTCATCACTTCTCACACCCTCCTGAAACCTCCTCCTCACCTCGACTTCTAACAGACCACGTACTGTACTTGTTATGCCCATGGGACTATAAACAATGACACCTGGAACTGCTACCCGATGATGTTATTCAACCAGGCTGATCTGTGATACATCTTATCTCCACGTGACGTGGTGTCGTGCGGCGCGTCGGCGCGTCGCATTTGCAACACCACGAGGTTCAGCTGTCATTCGATCTCCCCTCAGCACGTACACCAATCCTTACATCACTCGGCCAAACACACGGGCACCGCAGCCTACCCTGAAAAATCAAACAGAGCCACCGGAGTAGCTCCCACCATGGGGGACCAAGGTGGAGAGAGTCAACTCTTCAGCCAGTGCAAGATCTGTATCATATGCTCCAGAGATCTCCCTGCCGATGCGGCACATCAAGTCTGTCACCTTACCCTCTCGCGCCCCGAGACTACTGAAGAAGACAACTACTGACCCTGACTTCACACAGCTGGCATTCACTTTCGAGCAACATGGCGGCGAATCCGTTATTTACGAGCCACCGGCCGAATTCCCGCCTCTGACCGAATTCACGCACCTGATGAGCTGCACCGTCGACTTCCCCGCGTTTGAGGCCGCAAATGATGCCCTGATCCCCGTTGTCAAACCATACTGGCTACAGGCCTGTCTTCAGAAGCGAAAGTTGGCCAACCCACGGCAATATAGCCCAGATCCTCGACTGATCCTGAACGATGTGGTGGTGACCTGCGGTGACATCCCGGAGGGCGACAAGGAAGCAATCATCGGAGGAGTTCTCGCAAAGGGTGGACTGTATAGTCCCAGAATCTCCCAGCCGGTCACCCACTTGGTTGACCTGACCGCGGACTCGGATAAGGCCCGCTTGATCATCGCGAAGAGGCTCAAGATCAAAATTGTCTTGCCCCACTGGTGAGCAGACCCAGAAGCCAAGCTCAACTTGATAGGTCTAACGAAGGTTTCTTCCAGGTTCGATGACTGCCTCAAGCTTGGACGACGAATCGACGAACGCCCCTACCTTCTCCCCGACCCCGAGATTCTGCGTGCGGCGCCCGACGCTCCCATACGCTCAGCGGAGAACCGAGACATCATCGGTGCATCGACACCTGACCCCACTAATCTACCAGTCGCGGTGCAGTCGTCAGATGAATTGCCCAGGCTCAATGTATTCGAGGCCAAGAGTGTCATGCTTGCTCCGGATCTTGGGATCGGGTCGCGTCTCTCTGGCTCCATCGGAGACATCATCAGGGAGGGTGGGGGTTCTGTTGTTTCAGACATATCAGCTGCGGACATCCTGATCTGCCGCTACCGAGAAGGATTCGCCTACCGCATGGCGTTTCAGTTGAACAAAGATATCGGCAATCTATCCTGGCTCTACCACCTCATGACATATAACACCTGGACTTCTCCTCTACGACGACTGTTACACTACCCCATTTCACGCAAGGGTATCCCGGGATTCCAGGGGTTCAAGATCAGTCTCTCAAACTATGTCGGAGAAGCTAGGAGCTACCTGGAGCACCTGATCACAGCCACGGGCGCCGAATGCACCAAGACCCTTAAGCAAGAAAACACACACCTGGTGACCGCGCATGGAAACAGCGAGAAATGCGCCGCAGCGAAGGAATGGGGTCTGCAAGTTGTCAACCACCTGTGGCTGGAGGAGAGTTACGCGAAATGGAAGCTGCAGCCCGTCTCCGATCCCCGCTACACGCACTTTCCCAAGCGAACAAACCTGGGCGAGGTTGTGGGCCAGACCAGACTGGATAAAGCCGTACTCGAGAGTCAGCTCTTGCTCGAGAGCAACAACGGGGTACAGGCACCGTCGAGCCCGCGACCGGTGATGCAGCACAAGGACCAAAACACTGTGACCTCCAAGACGCCGAAAATTGTCCAGCAGTCTTCCGCAAGAACTACTGAGTCCGAAACCGAAGTGCCGCGCACGTCAGGTGCTACACCGCGGGTTGCGGACAAGTCCCGGAACGCCATGGATCCTCCAAAACTGCAGACGCCCGCTCGGACCCGGCTCACTTCCGAAGGAAAGGAGAATGATACTCCATCGAGCACTAGCAGTCGCAAGTCAAAGGAGGTAGCCGCTGCTCGACTACACGATCTTGCACCCGATATGGCGTTGTACGAGAAGGAGAAGAGGCGTGTTGGGGGTGTGATTCATGGTGGCCGGAGAGTCTCAGACGAGGATCGCGTAGTACTCAACCCCAGCAAGAAGCGCGTGTCCATGGAACCGCAGGACGAAAGCGACGAGGATGAAACGACAGAGACAAAGAGACAGAAGAAGTCTAGACCCCCTGTCGCGATGCATCTGCTGATAACCGGATATCAGAAATGGGTCAAGAACCCGAAGACAGAGGATTCTGACAAGGTATGTTTCTAACATTACGATCAAGACTTTGCGATCTAACCATTCACAGCGACAACTACGTGACCTTGGGATTTTGGTAGTCCAAGAAGCGAAGAGGTGTTCTCACCTTGCCGCACCGTCTATCCTCAGGACCCCTAAATTCGTGAACGCATTGGCCTACGGACCAGTCCTCATGAACATCGATTTCGTCACCCAGTGTCTCAAGCAGAATGCCCTCCTAGATCCTGCCGACTACACCCTCAAGGACAAGGCTTCCGAGGAAAAGTACGGATTCAAGCTTGAAAATGCCAGAACCAATGCCAAGGCGAACAAGAACAAGCTGTTGCACGGATACCAGATTTACTGTGTGGAGACAATTCGTGGTGGGTTCGATGCATTCAAGTCCATTGTGGATGCCAACGGTGGTCAATGCACTCTGTTCCGGGGTCGGGTCTCGTACCGATCACAGAGAGAAGAGAGCGAGGAAAGCTCGGAAGATGACGACCCCAGTCGCAAAGAGGTGTATCTGCTGAGCAGCACGGAATCGGATCAGGTGAAGACATGGCCACGCTTCCGAAGTATGGTTCTGAGCACCGGCAAAACGCCACGGATTGTTCGTGTGGAATGGCTTCTCGATATGGCTATGTCCCAGAAGCTGCATGCTGCGGATGCCTACGAGCTGAGCGAAGAAATGGCCGAGGTTTCGGAACAGTAAGCAGGTCGAGATCTGCATGGTGTTATGAGTGCTGCGTCCAAGCGTCTTTGCTGGTTTGAAAGAATTGATAGGCATGACTTCTTCAGGTCACTTCGCCGGGGGCTTTTGTAAATGACTTACATTTTGCATGAAAATAGCTTGTGGTACCCGCAATCAATTTGTCCAGATATCACGAACAGATGACCGTCTAGAAAAATTTGACACCTTCTTGGCCTTCGCCGCCAAAGACCTGTGCCTTGCCTCGTTTTACCAGAACATTGAGGCACTTCAGCATCACGTCCGTATCCATACCGTGCCATTCTAGCCGATCAGTTCCTCTGTTCGAAGGATAACTCACAGCAAAACATACCTTGTGACAACGTCCCCTCCCCCTCCACCAACTCATAGACCGTCAGAACCACATTCTTCTGCCCTGTATTTTCCACCTGCGATCATAACCAGGTCAGCAGCGAAACCTTGCATCCATGCGCACTCTCCCCCTCCCTCCCAAGTGCCTAGCGCAATCCACATACCCAATCGGCCACGATCCCCGCCCATTCCTCGGGCCTCTTCCACCAGATGCGCGCCACGGTCTTGGTGCTCCCATCCAGCCACTCCGCCCGCTGTCCTCCGCCGCCGCCGTCCTCTTCCCCCTTGGCCATCCAGTCCAGCACATCCCGCGCATCTTTCATGGACAGTCGTTTCCGGAGCGCAGCGTTGTAGAACAGCGGGCTCTCGATGGCCTCACTGAGCGTCAGGCGGTAGGTGCGGTGATGGCGACACCATGACTGGATCAGGGCGGACCATTTCTGGAGCTGCGAGGTGCGCGTAGCGCTGTTGGGTTGTGGGGTGAAGAAGGGGGGGAAGGAGTAGGTTGGCGGGAATTGGAAGGGCGGTGGGGCGGTAGTCATTGTCTATGTGTATGTGAATGTATATGTATTATAGCAAGGTTGTGCTATGGATGCCCCACTATAGCTGGTGGGATAGATCGTTCTGCAATTGTTAGATTTGGATGATGAGATAGTCGGTGGTTGTTTTGTTCAGAAGCTGAGTCGATTAACCGATACCGCCGGTATCGATAAGCAAAGGCGGGCGGGCGGGCGGCGGCAGCAGTACGTACGGAGTAGTGTACTCAACTTTCCGCTCTCCCTCCCTTTCTTTTCTCTCCGCTTTGGAGAATTTTCCGCCTTCGCCCCCGTCCGTCACCATCCTCCATTGCCCTCCCCCGCTGCACCGATCTGCAATTGGGTTATCTTGGTGGATCTTCCCACTTCCTTATATTGAAGTGACATATTCTCGAGTCAACGCTGCAGGACCACAACCACAATGACTCCTCCACCTGCCAAACGCCAGAAGCGCGATGAGTATCGCAAGCAGGCAGCCGCTACGAACCCCGATGGCGGCAGCAGCACCACCAACGAGACCAGCCTCCCCGCCCGGGTCAAGCTGCCCAAGAAGAAGTTCTACCGTCAGCGGGCGCATGCGAATCCGTTCTCGGATCATCAATTGCAATAGTACGTTTGGCCTTGGTGTCTTCTATCCTCTACTACTGGGTGACTGACTTCATTCAAAAATAGTCCCCTCAGCCCGGCGCATATGGACTGGGCCTCGCACTTTCCTGCCTACGTGAACCCGGACCCGTCACAGACGAACCTCATTGGCACCCGCAAGCTGCTGAAGGATGTGGAGATCGTGGATATCGGGTGTGGATTCGGTGGGCTGCTCGTCGGTCTTGCGCCGTTGCTGCCGGAGACGTTGATGGTTGGTATGTGTTACCCTGTTATTGTTCGTTGTCTATCATATTTGCGCAGGACATATCCTTTCCCGCAAGTAGCAGAGAGTTGATGTGCTGTCGGCGAACACAGGAATGGAAATCCGCGTTTCCGTCCTCGACTACCTGTCCACCCGGATTCAAGCCCTCCGCGCCCAGCAGCAGCAACTTCAATCGACCCAAGCCTCCGCCTCCACCACCACCACCACTCAAGCCACTGCAGACGCTGCCCCCGAAGCGCCCACCACCGAACCCACCGCCATGGAAACCGAACCGACCTCCACTGAAACCCCTACCGCCACCGAAGCCACCACCACCGACCCCAACACCACCACCACCGACGAAACCACCGAAGCCACCACCCTCGTCCCCGGCGGCTACCAGAACATCACGGCGATTCGCAGCAACACGATGAAGTTCTTCCCCAACTTCTTCGCCAAGCACCAGCTGTCGAAGATCTTCATCTGCTTCCCGGACCCGCACTTCAAGGCCCGCAAGCACAAGGCCCGCATCGTCTCGGAGACGCTGAACGCCGAGTACGCCTACGCTCTGCGGCCCGGCGGCCTGCTCTACACCATCACGGACGTCGAGGAGTACCACCACTGGGTGCTGCGGCATTTCCGCGAGGGCGAGGACGCCGAGGCCGTCGATGGCGCTGTCGGCACGGTCAAGGAGCTGTTCGAGCGCCTGACGGACGAGGAGCTGGCGCAGGACCCCTGCGTGCGCGTCATGAGCGAGGAGACGGAGGAGTCGAAGAAGGTCACGCGCAACAAGGGCAACAAGTATGTTGCGGTGTTCCGGAGGAAGGAAGATCCCGCTTGGCCGGCTTAGGCCTTAGAGCGCATCGTTTTGTCCTGGGACTATGATTCCTCTGGAAGAGGAAGGAAGGGTTTAGCAAAAAAGTTATATAGATGAATTGTATATGCTTGCGAACTGGATCGATTTCTGTGTGCCTATTTCGATGTAGGCAACTGCCTCCAGAGTTCTACGGTTGGTTTTTATAGTTAGGAAGTCCGTCGACAATATACCTTCTAAAGAAATGGCATCCCAGCTGTCATGATGTTCGAAGACCTCAAAAGGAAATGCAACAAATGCCGAAAATAAAATCACGGAGAAAAAGCATAACCAAGACGCAAACAGCAGAACAACATTCTCATGCTCAGACCTCGTCCCGAAAACATATTTCGCGTGCTAAACTCCCGCTTGCTGCTATGCAAATCAACATGGTGGATTTCTAGTAGTCAACTTGGCTGGCAAATAAACAATGCAAATTAAAGTCAAGAGATATCAGGGTTGGCGCACTTGGCCCAAAAAGATATAGCAGTGTGTGTGTGTGTGTGTGTGTGTGTGTGTGTGTGTGTGTGTGTGTGTGTGTGTGTGTGTGTGTGTGTGTGTGTGTGTATCTCAATCAATGAGCCGCACTGTGACGCGGGGAGGGAGCGGTGGATTGTGGAGAATATGACCTGTAATTAACTCTCGACATGAAAAAGAATGCAGCAACACGAATCGAACCAGGATTCGAAGCTGTCAAAGGTGTTTTTTTTCGGGTGGGAAAATTTCAGGGGGATGCTTTCAGTCGGATGCCCTCGCAGCGTTCACACACGGCGAGCTGCACGGGGCCTCCGATGATGCGGCCCTTGGCCGTTCGTTTGGGCTCGCCCTCGCGGACAAAGTACCGCCCCTCGGGCCCGAACCCGTCGCCGCACTCGTGGCAGACGAAGCACTGGTCATGCCACTGGCCGCCGATGGCAGAGATCACCACATCGTCCAGGACGGGCTTCTTGCAGCCGAGGCAGCGGGGGGCGGTCCGGCGGGAATGGCATTGCAAGCACCACGCAAATCCATCCTTTTCCACGAATGGTTTCTCTGAGCTAAAGGGCTGGAAGCAGGAAAAAAAAAGAAAGGTTAGCAGTGCGCAGGATTTAGGAACTTTTGGGGGGTTCTCGTACATCACCACATTCAGCACAGAAGAAATGACCGACATGCCACTCGGCCCCGCACGCCACGACCACTTCCCCTTCTATCGGTGTCTTACAACTCTTACACCTGGGGCTGAACAACTCGTGGAAGTCGAGGTGACAGTAGAATCTCAACGCTCGAGCTTCTTCATCATCGGCCGCTGACTCGGCTAGTCGCTCAGCTCTCTTCGCATCGGGCTCTTGGTAGAACGCCACGCACTCAAGAGGTGTCTGACAATGATGACACACAAAACACTCGGGATGGAATCGAGTGCCCGCAGCAGTCACAATTTTTCCAGCAATTGGAAGTGTACAGCTCTCGCACTTGGCAGTAGGTACCCCGGAGCGTGTATAAGTCGATAGCCAACGACTCGCCGAGGCTGTCGCAGTCTTTGGAGGAGCCCGGTTCAGGCCTGCATTACTTTTTGGCGGATTTTGTGATGGCTTCACAGCTATCCCGGAGCCCCCGCGAGAGCCAGAGATCTCAGAAATTCTAGGCTCCTTATCGTCCGGTAGATTTATTACCGGGACGGATGGTGCTTCGGACACTTCGATCGTGGGCGCTGGAGGCAGCGGTGGGGGCGTTGCATCCCAGCCCTTGTCGCGTTTGGGAGGGCTTTGTGCCTCGGTAGGTTTCCATCTGGGATCGAAACTCACTATAGGCCGACCGGCTCGGTCGCTCACCGCAGTGGGCATAGGAAGCCTGGTGCTGCGGTCCCTGAGCTTCTTGCTCGTTGCAGCTCGAAGCTCGTCACTGCGGATCTCAAGGCCATCTTTCGTTGGAATCTGCTGCTGAGGTGCCTCAGGTTCAGGCGGCGCTTCTTGAGACCGAGGCTCGTTCGTCGTATACTCAGGATTTCTTGTTTGACTCGGAGGATTCTTATGGATCTCGAAGCGAGAAAGCTTATCAACGAATAAGAGACTACCTAAGCGACCAGGCAGAGGTCGGGACCCGCGAGGAAGGGCATTCCGGGGCTTACTCCTCAAAGCAGATGAATCTGATCTAGAGAAGATTGAGCGACTACCCTCATCCTTCCGAGGAGAAAGATGGGGCTCTTCGTAGATTTGGTCGTTCGGGTTTCTGAAGATGCCTCTGGATGTTTCGCTCCTGACACTGGCCGAGCCTAATCCATGATTATCGCCTGAGGTCACCGTCGATTCACCCTCTTGAGGGAGTGCGAAATTGACCTTCATGCTTCTTCGCAGGCTCCCTCCCTTAGTCGGGCTTTTCATCGGGCTTGACCCTTCTTCCAAAATGGTCTGTGAATCTCCATCGACTGAGGACTTTCTTTCACTTCCCCGAAAGCCGTTCGTCCCTTTATGGCTAACAGTCGATCCCTGGAACATAAGCCGACGACTGTCCCTGCGAGCTGTGGGTGAGCTAGGACCGCCATTATGAGAAGCGAAGCTACTTCTTGGAGGGCTTTGCTGGAGATCTTGCAGATCGGGATTCTGGTAAGGTGCATAGGGGTTCTTATACGGTATACCTGGATTTTGATGCATCCATACCAGTTCCGTGGCCTCATCTTGGGCAGCAGCGTGGAGATCATGTTCGTCATGGAGGTCCATTTCCTGCAATGCATCACGCAGGGACCTTGCCTCTTCTTTCTCTATGCGTCGCTGGGGATTTTCACGATATGTAGGCCGTGGGGGAATCTGTTCCACCCGCGAGAAAACCTGGGCGGGTGATACAGTTTGCCTAATTGGGATGGTTCTCGGTTCCTGGACCAAAGGACGTCCGGTGGGACCTCCCAAAGCGGAGGCTGGTCTATGGTTAGAGAGCGAACTGGTGGCCCGAGGGAATCTGGCCTCTGGGGAGGGAGGGCTAGACTGCATCCTCGGTGGACCATAAGACGACATCGCCGATGCCGCTCGCGGAGGCAAATCATCATGAGGATGAGTAGGCGCCGCAGCAGGTCTTACGGGAAGCGGCCTGGATCCGCCAGGACGTGTAGGACGATTAGTCCGCAGATCTTTCAAATAGGTCGCTGTAGGTCGAAGATCAGCATGGAGACCTCGATCCGAAGCGGTGACAGCCCGAATGAGATCGATAAAGGCTGGATGGGGAAGAGAATGCTTTGGCGCGGCACTGTAAACATACCGATCTGGTCGTCGGACATATAAGTCGGGCCAGGAGGGGAGAACTTGCGTTGGCCCTCCTTGGGCTTCTGAGTTTGAGGCCTATGCATCATACTGGCCATGGAGATGTAGGGTGAAGAGTCATGAACCGCAGGAAAATATTTGGACGAGAGAAGGGGAGGGGTTCGAGTGATGAGTTGGCGGCTGCTCAAGGCAGGGAGGGCTATGAAGTCAGTGACTATTATAGCTGAACAGGGCCAATGAGAGCTGGAAAGGTGGCTGGGGCGAGTGGATCAGAGACAAGCTGGAATGAACTAGACAGATCGGATCAGTCTAAGTCGATTTGTTGCTTGTTTCATCTGCGGTGTCAGAGGAACGAGGATTGCTGCAATGGAGTCTAGTGTGTGTGCATTGCCGATCGGGAACTAGATCACTACTCCCTGGTGAGTAGAAAGCATTGAATCTCGGTTCAGCAGCAGGGGGGGTGGAGGTCAACGAGGGGAAGAAGCTGGAAATACAGTGTCGGAGATTAGACTGGCACGATAACAAGTTTGATCGGGACTTTTCCTCAGGCACCACATCTTCAGCTCAGCCGCAGCAGAGCTGAGCTCTGGCCATCAATGATGATGATGATTGATGATGATTGCTGATTCCATCACCCATGACAACCAGGTACGGTTACTTAGGCACTAAGGCACCAAGGCACACTCGGGCACAGGACAAACTAGCCAAACATCTGCCATTTTCCTGAGGCCACCGCGGGGTAGCAATAACTAAGCCTGGTCAGGTTAGCCCCGTTTTCTTCAGCTGTGTCCCGTAATCGGATGCTGAGACGATTCCCATTCTGGTAAGACCCTTGAGGTGAGCCAAACAGGTAAATTGCCCAGCTATGATACGGAGTACAAAAGATACAAACCTTCCGCAATCTTCCGTGTGAGAGATACTTAGCAGCAGCCATGCTTCATGACAGCGTGCAGCCGCACGTGGCTCTCGGGCCTTTCTTTCCTGTCTCCAGAACATGTCTGCATCACCAACAACCTGGAATTGCGCAAGCTCTAGAAGTGGACTTTGCCTTGATCTGAACCCCGGATTCACATCGTCGAGGTGGAGCCTGGAAATGATCTGGAGCTGCTGTCATCAGTCATCACCCCCAAAGTCTCTCTGACTGGCGCAACCAACCGACGCTACTCGTCTCCTCCCCGGACTCCGCACCGGGTCAATCGGCATATCAGGTCCCCTTCAATAGAGTCCAGCTGCTCCTCTTCATGTGTGGGATTTACTTTTGGCCCAATGATGGGCTCTCTTCAAGTCGGACAACTCGCCGACTGATGCCCGTTAACCGTTCTTGACTGGCTAGAATCGGGCCCAAACTTCGTTAGTAGAAGGATGGATCAATGACACATCGTTCGCTTTAGCCTCTATCTCTGCTTGACTCCTCCCCTTCGTCCTTCGAGATGCACTTGTTCTCCTCTTCCTGGCCGTTTGGTCCACTTCTTCATGGCCCATGGCTGGGATTGACACGCATCTGGGATAAATCCGTACTGCGCTCTATGTCGTGAACCTGATAGAAATCAACCAACGAGGCCCAACCTAAGACTCGTTTTCTCGGAACTCTATCCTTGCAGGCTGGGTGTGATTCATCATGGCAGATAATGCTCCAATCGACGCCATTCGTTCACAACAATATGATAACGATCCGAATCTAGAACCATCCTCTGATCTGGATAATCCACAACAGTCTGCTCCGCTGGACGCAGAGTCCAAGTATGAGCAAGACGTTCCTCCGGATGGAGGATATGGCTGGGTCTGTGTTGCCTGTGTGTTCTGGATCAATGCCCACACCTGGGGCATCAACAGCGTCAGTAGTCGTCATTCATATGGGAAGATCCGACGGCTGACCAACCAATATAGAGTTACGGCGTGTTTCTCTCCTACTACCTCTCCCATGATGTGTTCCCTAATACCTCCGCTCTCTCCTATGCCTTTACTGGTGGCTTGAGTATATCGTGTGCGCTTCTCGTAGCCCCCGTGGCCACGTACCTTATCCATGTCTTCGGCACGCGCTTAACCCTCAACCTGGGTGTGTTCTTTGAGACGCTCTCGCTCATCGGGTCCTCATTTGCAACCCAACGATGGCACATTTTTCTCAGTCAAGGTGTCTGTTTTGGCTGGGGCATGGGCTTTCTCTTCGTCGGCACCGTCGGTATCATCCCGCAATGGTTCTCACGGCGCCGTAGCCTGGCCATGGGGATCAACGCCGCCGGCTCTGGCCTCGGTGGTCTCATGTACTCGCTCGCCGTCGGCACCATGATCCCTCGCCTAGGCCTGCCCTGGGCCTTTCGGATCCTCGGCATCATTGCCTGCGTTGTCAACCTGGTGTGCGCCAACCTCCTGCGCGATCGCAACAAGGCCGTAGGCAGCCGGCACCAGGCTTTTGCGCTGCCGCTCCTCAAGCGGCCGGAATTCCTGCTGTTTCTCGGCTGGGGCGTCTTCAGCATGCTTGGCTACGTTGCTCTGCTCTTCAGCGTCGCCAACTTCGCCCTCTCCGTGGGCCTTACCTCCCATCAGGGTAGTGTGGTAAGCGCCCTCCTCAATCTCGGCCAAGGACTGGGCCGCCCCTTCGTTGGCATGTTCAGCGATCGCCTCGGTCGCATCAACATCGCCACCTTCCTCACATTCCTGTGCGGTCTTTTCTGTCTCGTCATCTGGACGTTTGCGCGCAGTATGGGCGTAGTCTGCTTCTTTGCCGTGCTGGTCGGCACCGTCTCTGGCACCTACTGGGCGACCGTCGCCCCCGTCGCGAGCGAGATCATCGGGCTCCGGGATCTGCCCAGCGGCTTGAGCATCACTTGGCTGGTGCTGGTGCCCCCTTGCACCGTGTCGGAGGCGATTGCCCTGCTGTTGCGCAACAATCACGCTGGCGACGCGGCGTATCTGCGCGTGCAGATTTTCACCGGTTTCATGTACATAGGCGCGGCTTTGTGTCTTTGGCTAGTCCGGGGGTGGAAGATTAGGGAAATAGCGCAAGCAGCGGCCGAAAAATCGCTGAATGATTCGTCTCCTCAGACCGGGGTCAAGGATGCCCCCCGGGGTTCCAAGGTCGAAACCGGTGCGACGGAGATGAACCACCAGGTAACAACTCGAGGAATGTCAAAGTCGCACCTTTGGTCTCCGGTCGGCTTGTTGCGTGGGATGGTGTCATTGCAGAGAGTATAATGTGGAGAATCAGTACCGAGAAGGGGGAAGAGTTAAAAGGTCGAAGATGTACAAGATCGTAAGATCTCGGATATCGTTACACCGCATAGAAATCTTAGATTGAACACGACTAAAATCTAGTACAGTCATCCTACGTGCGAGACACCGGTAGACGCCCAAATCCTCTTATATTATGCCAGTCATAAATCGATAGATAATTTCACTTTTTTTTCACCCTTGTGTTATGTGTTAGTATGTTCAAGCGCCTTGGCCCAAGATCAAGATGCGGACTCTCCGCTTCCCAGCGCCACGACCGCCTTCCTCCTTGACGGAGCTGACGTTGACATTGACCTTCTGGAACAGCTCGACGGAGACGCCATGCGCCTGGTCGGCGTCCCCCTTGTCCGAGACACGGAGGGTGTACTCCTCGCTGTCGAAGTCGCTCTGGCGGCGGACGACGAGCTCGCGGCGCTCGGCGACGGTGCGCAGGGCGGCGTCCTTGGGGAGGACGAAGTCCTCGAGGCGGACGACGCCCTCGATGCCGAAGCGCGGCACGAAGACGACGACGCCGTTCTCGAAGACGCGCATGACGTAGCCCTCCTCCTCGATGCCGCCGTCCACCCCGTCGGCGGCCATCTTCTCGCCGCGGGCCTTGAGCGCCTGGCCGACGTAGTACTCGATGCTGGCGCGGCCGGCGAATTGGGCGTTGCGGTGGCGGTAGTTGATGTTCCGGCAGATGTCCTCGAGGCGGTTGCGGGTCATGACGCCCTCGACGACGGCGCGGCCGTCCTCGCCCTCGTAGCCGATGGCCGAGGCCAGCTGGCGGTGGACCAGCAGGTCGGCGTACCGGCGGATCGGCGAGGTGAAGTGCGTATAGATCGGGGAGGCTAGGCCATAGTGCCGGAACTCGGACTCGGCGTGCGCGCCTGCGACGAAGTACTCGGCCGAGGTCATGCAGCGCGTGGCCAGAATGCGGACCAGGGTGTTGAAGAAGGGGTTCTGCGCGTCGACGCAGCGGTCGAGCGAGTCGGCCAGCGCCCGCGAGCTGGACACATCGAGCCGCAGGTCGCGCTTTTTGGTGAGCTGGTTGATGAGCTCCTCGAAGTTCTGCGGGGGAGGCGTGGCGTGTCGGCGGAGCATGGCCGTCTGAGAGAAGGTGCTGTAGATCTTGGTGGCGACGGTGATGTTGGCGTGGAGCATGAACTCCTCGACCAGGCTGTTCGTCTCGAGCATCGCCTTGGTCTTAACGTCGGCCAGCGGGTCGCCGACCTCGTCATTGTCCGCCTCGATCCGGACTTCGGGCGAGGCGAGGTTCAGCGCACCGGCGTCCATGCGCTTCTGGCGGAGGATTTTGGAAAAGCGCAGCAGGGTACGCATGCTCTCGGTGAGTTCGTCGGTCTGCTTCGGGTCGTCGATCCGCTTTTGGGCTTTCTCGTAGCTGAAGGCCTCGCGGGACCGGATCACCGACTTGGTGAAATCGGCGGACACGACCTCCGCGTTGGGGGTCATTTCCCACAGGACGGAGAAGGCGTACCGCTCCACGTAGGGTTTCAGGGAGCACAGATCGGTACCGAGCAAGTGCGGCAACATGTCAATACGTTTGTCGACAAGGTACACCGTGGTTCCACGCTGCGAGGCCTCGAGGTCCATCGCGTTGTTGGGCTTGACAAAATGTGAGACATCGGCGATGTGAACACCGACTTCGAAGTTGCCATTCGGCAATGGTCGTGCGTGCAGAGCGTCATCAATATCCTGACAGCCAGGGGGGTCGATACTGCAGATAAGAAGGTCTCGAAGATCCCTCCGCCCCTTCCAGCCAATGTCGTCTTTGCTCGCGGGCACTCTCCAGTCATGACCCTCCGCAGGGAGGCAGTCGAGGACGGCCTTGGGGAAGGGCTTGTACTGAACGTCATACTCAAGCAACAAG